CACAACGCCTGGCCATTTTTTGGTTGCAGCCATCATTGTTGTTTGGCGGGCCCGGGCTGGGGATTCGAACCCACCGCCTTAGGTGTATGTGGCTGGCGCCTTAGCCGCTTGAGCCACAGGCGCCGAGCCAGTGTTAGCTTTTTAAAAAGTGATAGGAAGCCAGGTATAGTAAATCACACCTGTAACCCCAGCACTTTGGTAGGCTGAGGTAGGAGGACTATTTAAGGCCAGAAGTTTAAGACTAGTCTGGGCAACATAGGACACTGTCCTTATTTAAAAAAAGAGCCAGGCACAGTGGCACATCCTTGTAGTCCTAGCTGCCTGGGAGGCTGGGGCAGAGGACTACTTGAGCCCAGGAGTTCAAAGTTACAATGAGCTAGGATTATGCCACTGCACTTCAGTCTGGGCAACAGAATAAACCTATTTTTTTTTTTTTTGAGACAGACCCTCAAGCTGTTCCCCTGGGCAGAGTGCCGTGGCATCACAGCTCACAGCAACCCCCCACTCCTGGGCTCAAGCGAGTCTCCTGCCTCAGCCTCCCAAGTAGCTGGGACAACAGGCGCCCGCCACAACACCTGGCTATTTTTGGTTGCAGCCATCATTGTTGTTTGGTGGGCCGGGCTGGATTTGAACCCACCACCTTAGGTCTATGTGGCTGGCGCCTTAGCCACTTGAGCCACAGGCGCAGAGCCAATAAACCTATTTTTATAAATAAAGTTAAAAAAATGATAGAAAAAGCTAACAACAAAGGAAGAAATAGTTTTTTCCTACTATACACTAAAGCTTCCTCTTCCTAATGTCTATAGTTCTCCCAAATTAAACAAAAATATCTGCAATAAGCCTAAGAGAAAAAACTATGATTAACACACAAGTTATCACTTGACTAAAAAAAATAAAATAAATACAAATAGGAGGTGGTTAGACAAATGGGCTAAGAACATGAACAGACAATTCATAAAAAAAAAATAGAAATGTTGAAGTCGTAGAAAAATGTCTGATCTCATTAGTGATTTTAAAATGTTAACCCAAACTATTTATGTTTTTTTGGACTATCAAATTAGAAAAGATTAAAAAAAAAGAATATTCAACCTTGGTAAGCATATAATAATGGCACTTATATGGACGCTGAGAGCATAAATTAGAATAACTTGCTTAGGAAAGACCTAGAAAATATGCAGTAGAGCATTATAAACATCCACGTTCACTTTAATCCAATCATTACTCCTAAGACTTTATCCCCAAAACAAATATATTCAATATAATATACAATAGTTTAAAAAAAGAAAAATAATTTCTCTAATATGTGAATAGTTAAGTGAATGATGCTATGCTTAACACATTATATGGCCATTATTTAAAAATACAAAGAGAGAGGAAAACATTTTGTTACAATGTTAAAGGGCAGGGAAGGAATATAAAAATGCATATCTGATTGGAATTATGTCAAAAATAAAAACCAAAGCCAAAACTGTATGGGTGGGGGGAAGACCACAAAGAAAAAGAAACTAACAGTAGTGTCACTGAGTGGTACAATGTTAAAAGGGGGTTTTTCCTCATTTTTTTTTTTTTTTTTAGAGACATAGTCTCACTTTGTCGCCCTTGGTAGAGTGCCATGCGTCACAGCTCACAGGAACCTCTAGCTCTTGGGCTCAGGCAATTCTCTTCCCTCAGCCTCCAGAGTAGCTGGGACCACAGGTGCCTGCCACAACGCCCGGCTATTTTTTTTGTTACAGTTTGGCTGGGTCCAGGTTTGAACCTGCCACCCTTGGTATATGGGGCCTACTCACTGAGCCACAGGCGCCGTCCAAGAGTACTTTTCTTTTTTTTTGAGACAGAGCCTCAAGCTGTCACCCTGGGTAGAGTGCTGTGGCATCACAGCAATCTCCAACTCCTGGGCTCAAGTGAGTCTCCTGCCTCAGCTTCCCAAGTAGCTGGGACCATAGGCACCCGCCACAACACCTGGCTATTTTTTTTGTTGCAGCTATCATTGTTGTTTGGCGGGCCCAGGCTGGATTCGAACCCGCCACCTTAGGTGTATGTGGCTGGCGCCTTAGCTACTTGAGCCACAGGTGCCGAGCTGAGTACTTTTCTTTATCATTAAAATTCTGGGGGAAAATTTAATTGTAAAAGGCAAAAGATTTATATGATCTGAGGAGAAACCAGAGTTTGGAAAATTTAATTATAAATAGGCACTTGGCAGACTGTAACATACTCTATAAAATGAATGCTATACACCATACTTCCATTTGCTATTTTTATTTAGACTCTTTCAAGCTGAAATTAATCAAAAACTCAGTTCAAATTATAAATATCACATTACTAAGATACACAATTACACCAGTTAGGTACATTGATAATTAAATGTATAAAGTATGTAAAAGCGCTATTATGTAAGGGTAAATGATATTGTTATTCACTTATTTAGTTCCTACTTTGCTCCATGAAAAGGAACCTGAGATAAGTTATTATTATTATTTCTGAATGACACTGTTAGTTTTCCTATTCATGAGGTTTTATCTTTTTGGAAAATTCAAAACATGCAAGATTAGCAATTTTAAATGAAATTTTTAAACTGTTTTCTCCCAGTTCTTACCAATGCCAGAAAAGATTGAACGATCACTCCAGCTCCTTCCCCAGTCTTTTCCATTGGCATTAGCGTCTCCAGTGTCTTGACTCCAAGCAGATGGCTCGGCTTTCCTCTTGCCTGCAGAAGCAGGTGAAACAGAGTTCCACTTCTCCTCACCTGCATTGATCTGTGAGGAGAGTTTTATGGACTTTTCATTCCAGCCTCCTCCATTGACAGTGAGGTTTTCATTCAATCCTGAAGAAACTTAAAGAAAAGAAAAGAAAGATTAAAAAACAAGTATATGACTTCTTGTTAAAAGTGGGATTTAAAAAATTTCTATGACTGTTCAACTTACATTTATCACCCACTTCCCCTACTGTTTTTTAAATACCGTGAGCTTTAGATATAAATACATTTTAAAGTCAACATGATCACTGCAGATACCTTTTAACAAATAAGAGGTTTGAAGGTAACATATATACTAGTAAAGTTTTCCATAGCAGAACGACTTACCCCAACAAAGTACAACAGAGCAAAAAGAAAAATGACACGTATTCTAGAGTACTCAGAATACTCACCCACTAAGAATATGAAGACTTCTCCTTAGATACATGTTCTTTCCTTAAATATTTACACATATTATGTTTAAGACAGTGATTCTTTTTTTTTTTTTTTTGAGACAGAGCCTCAAGCTGTCCCCCTGGGTAGAGTGCCGTGGCATTACAGCTCACAGCAACCTCCAACTCCTGGGCTCAAGCGAGTCTCCTGCCTCTGCTTCCCAAGTAGCTGGGACCACAGGCGCCTGCCACAACGCCCGGCTATTTTTTGGTTGCAGCCGTCATTGTTGTTTGGCGGGCCCAGGCTGGATTCGAACCCGCCACCTTAGGTGTACGTGGCTGGCGCCTTAGCCGGTTGAGCTATAGGCGCCGAGCCTAAGACAGTGATTCTAAAACCTGGCTGCACATTAAAATCAACTGAGAAATTTCTTAAAAATACACTCTGGAGTTTTAGCCCAGACAAACTCAAATCAGAATCTCTGTGGTGGAGCCCGTGAGTGCTGCATGCGTGTGTTTCAAGCTTTCTAGCTTGATGATTGTGATGTGTAGCCAGGATCAAAAACCATGGGCATGAACGAAGCTGACAGTGCTAAGAAAAAGCACTGAACGAGCCTTTTCACTTCTGAGTTTATGTTTTACTATGACACTTTTGTTTTCAAGTCAGCAACACTCTACCTAATTCAATCTTTATTTTAAATGAGTAAATAATATAGTCCATTTACTGTGAAATATTTGATACTATGCCAAGGAAGCAGTTTAAAAATGATAGAAACTTAAGCTTTTTCTTAATATATGAGAGTAAAGTCTTTTATCCCATATACCTATATTAAACCCATGTCCAACAAAGATCCTCCTTTTCTATTGGATTAAAGTGACATAAACAAGAATCAAAACTGCATATAAACTATTACTGAAACAATGCTTTTATATATGAGGGGAAAAAAGACTAGAACATACCAAAGACTGTGGGTGGGTGTGATTTTTCTTTTAATTGATTTTTCCAAAATCTCTGGACTGTGATTATGTTACTTAAGTAGTTAAAAATCATTTTTAAAACTTTTTCTTTCCTTCTGCATCATTCATATAAGGAAAGAGACATATATATAATTTTCTATTTTGATGGGCCTTCAATTTTTAAGTTACATGTAATTTCTCTCACCCTGAAGTGTAGAATCTCCTTTTCCAGACTTAAAGTTGCTAACTTGAACATTTAGATGAGAATCACCTGGTTGAAATAGAAATAAAATTTATTTAATACTAAATAGGCCACTATGCACATTAAATTAGGAGTAACATACAAATTAATTTTTACTTATTATCTATAATAAACTGCTATTGCAAGTGCTTAAATTCGCCCATTGGAAAAAAGTTAATTTTACAACACATTTCACATGTAAGGAATTGAGTTCTCTAGTTACTATGTTCTTAGTTAACTAAAATGCCAATAAAAAGAACCCGGAAAACTGCCCAAGTACAGATAGAGCTTGCTATTCTATAACAGTTATCAAGATTGTTTTAAGTGGGAAGTGGAGCACTGGGCTCTGTAATTGGATTCAACTTTGCCACCTCTCAACAATACCAGCTGCCTTTTCAACAATCCTGGAAGCAAACACATCAACTTAAGAAAGAACTTTGCCAGTATTTGGGACCAGGACTTAGGAAATATGGCAAGAGATGAGAATATACGTTATAACACAAAAATACTATTTCTCTGACACTAAAAAGCATAATGAGCATAATGAATAATGACATATGACTGTGCTACTGTGGAAGGCATGCGCGAGACAGTGAAAAAGAATCACCAACAAAAATATTAAAGCATAGCTAATACATGACAGTGAAAATGGATTCAGTAGAAGTCATTGCTGTACCATAGCAATAAACTGCACCAAGTTATCAAAGAAAAAAGTAAAAGTAACAAGGCTCAGAAAGTGTGATTCAGAAAAAACTGATGGATGAGGAGGTGGGAAGGTCGTTAACAAAATGTCCACGGAAGGTAAGTCAATGCCTTGAAGCAAGTTGAATAGAATCACTTTGCAGACTGGGGTCTCCAGAGTAAAAGTGATGGCAATGTAAAGAGGTACCAAGAAGCCATCAGTATTGGATAGTATGAATATCTGAAATATTTGGAAGGAAGACTGTTGGCTCAATAATCTTTGAAACTCTGGTCTAGCTATATCAAACACCTATGGTACTCTCAAAAAGCTGTGGTGATAAGAAATCCAGACACAACCTGCACTCATCAGAACATGCTTGTTTCACCTTGAAAGCATCCAACATGCAGAATGATAAATAATTTCATTTGGTAAATGTCTTATCCACTGTAAGAAATGGAGATGCAAAAGAGTTGGGGCAAAGCAATACACACGAAGAAAAGAGGCAACATAATTTTCTCATGTAACTCAAGGCAGAAAGGCAAATTTTAATTCAATACGCCATTCATCAGGCACTATGTAACAAGTAACGCTGCTGGTATTAGGTCAACCAACACATGGTTCACAACACTCTCACGAAGAAGGGTATATCAGCACAGTGATGTTAGCAGTTCAAAATAGTCAGATTTTGACATAATATTTTGTACATCTGAATAAAAGGATTTTGATTGATGTACCACGCTTATGTTCCACTAATATACCTTTATTCTTCTTGGAACCAACAGGAAATGATGCAGTTGTAAGTTGCTCGGTGGTAACTGTGATGGTATTTTCTATCCCAGGGATAGTTGAATCCAATGAACCAGAATCAGTCAGCACCTTATCACGTTTACGCTGTTGTCGTTTCTCTCTGTGACTAATTTTAGTTTCCCAGGCTCCTGACATAGCCCCAGAAAAAAAATGTTATTCAGTAAGGGGAAGACAAAAAAGTTGTAGTTTTGTGGGGAAAAATGGGGTGGAGCACACAAAATATCACGATAAATTTAGATATTATGCTAAAAACCAAGACTTCTGATTAATTTATCCTAAAAATTTATTCTAATCTCATTATATTGTTTTAGGCAGCAAACTGCTATTATTTATCCTAGTAATTTTTATCATACTTTCCATCTGTGGTTTAGAAAAGTGATAGATACAGGTCATCTTGTATTTTTTATCTTGTTGGGTAGATGTGATAGGAGAGTGTTGTATATAATCACTAATAAGTGGGTTTTGTAGGTGATGATAAAGAACTCAAAAATTTTGTACACAGCCTTCCAGGAAAGATATATTTAAGGATAATGGGGAAAAAACCCAAAACATACTTCTAGGTAACAAAGATGAGTGGCTTTTCAATTGCTCAAAATACTGAATGTGACCTTATATTTCAATAAGGCAATTCCCCTCAGAAAAAGCATTATTGGGTCCTTAACAAAAATGTTTCCTAATAATGTCACAGAGCTGTACGTTAAAACTACAGTAATGAAAAAGAAGAACTAGATACAAAATTAAGTGAAACAAATGCAGCTTTTATATAATACACTTTGGTAAAAAAAGGATTAAAAGTTTTCTATAGTCTTTTCCCTTGCTCAAGTACCTTCATCAACTTCCTTTCCATCATGGCGTGAACTGTTTTGCACTGCTTTAGCATCTGACTTTGATTTCTTCTTATTTTTCTTTGACTGAAAGTAAAATAGAATGTTACTTAATATTTTGTTATCTTTTTGAAAAGGTAAGTCAGTAAAATACATAATAAAATGTATGATGCTGACAAGTAAAAAAATTTAATGCTTGATTAAAAAACTCAACATATTAAGTGGTAATAATATAAGGTTACCATTTATTGAGTGATTACTGTTTTGCACTCATTTTCTATTTATTCCTTAAAAAATGGTACTGTCTCCATTTTAGAGATGAGGAAATGGAAACTTAGAGATGTTAAATATTGAAAAGGCTATCCTGGGTCACATTTAGTAAATTAAGTTATAATTAGGAACTAGGTCTGTCTGGCTTCCAAGTTTATGTTTTTAGACATCAAGTTACCCTAAGTTACATCATAAATAAGGTACAGTAATACAGTATTTTCAGAGTGATAAAATTAAAACCTATTGGCAGTGTGTAGAAGGAAAATGTACCAATTACTGGTTTTTGGATTGCATAAATCAGACAATTGTTATATCCTATGTGTAACAAATTAGTGACTCAACTATATAAAGTATGTAATATTTTTTCAGTTTCAAAGCAATGTAAAAGTAATTAGCATTTGTATATAAATGTTTAGTGATTCAGTAAATATAAAATAACTACACATATATACAAGATACTGACATTTTGGAAAGACTTTCCAATTTTCATCTGCTATCATTATTATTATTATTATTATTTGAGACAGAGCCTCAAGATGTTGCCCTGGGTAAAGTTCTGGGGCTTCACAGCTCACAGCAACCTCCAACTCCTGGGCTTAAGTGATTCCCTTGCCTCAGTTTCTGGAATAGCTGGGACTTCGGGCACCTGCCACAATGCCCAGCTATTTTTTGGTTGTAGTTGTCTTTTTTTTTTTTTTGAGACAGAGCCTCAAGCTGTCCCCCTGGGTAGAGTGCTGTGGCATCGCAGCTCACAGCAACCTCCAACGCTTGGGCTCAAGCGAGTCTCCTGCCTCGGCCTCCCAAGTAGCTGGGACCACAGGCGCCTGCCACAACTCCTGGCTATTTTTTGGTTGCAGCCATCATTGTTGCTTGGCGGGCCCGGGCTGGATTTGAACCCACCACCTTAGGTGTATGTGGCTGGCGCCTTAGCCACTTGAGCCACAGGCGCCAAGCCAAATAATATTACTATCATTATTTTGAGACAAAGTCTCAACTCCTTCACCCTGTGTTGAGTGCTGTGATGTCATAGCTCACAGCAACCTGAAACTCAAGTGGGCTCAAGTGACCCTCTTGTCTCAGCCCCACAAGTAGCTGGGACTACAGATGCCTGCAACAGCACTGGCTAGTTTTTCTGTTTTTTTGTTTGTTTGTTTCTTTTTTTTTTTTTTTAACTCAAGACGGGGTCTTGCTTTGCTCAGGCTGGTCTCAAACTCCTGAGCTCAAAAGATCCACGCACCTCAGCCTTTCAGAGTGCTAGGATTATAGGTGTGAGCCATTGCACCTGGCCCTAATATTTTATTTCAAAAGCTTGCTAATAACTCTATAAAGCAATGATTTCTTTTTTTTTCTTTTTTTGAGACGGATCCTCAAGCTATCCCCCTGGGTAGAGTGCCATGGCATCACGCTCACAGCAACCTCCAACTCCTGGGCTCAAG